CGCTGCTGAGCGGACGTGTCGCCGGGCGGGAAGCTGGCCCCTAGCTCGGCGGCGTTATAGGCTCTTACAGACCGGCCTCCCCCCGCCCCCTTGCAGAGTGCAAGCCGGGGCACTGGAGCTACTCAGCCGTGGTTCCTGTCCTCCTCCCCAGCAGCTGCCGTCCTCACAGCTCTCTGCTCCTCCGTGGACATTCCAGGCAAGGGCTTACTGACGACACCATTCAGTGCCTCCCGGGCTTTGGGTTCCTCCCTCCGTTATAGGCTCTTACAGACCGGCCTCCCCCCGCCCCCTTGCAGAGTGCAAGCCGGGGCACTGGAGCTACTCAGCCGTGGTTCCTGTCCTCCTCCCCAGCAGCTGCCGTCCTCACAGCTCTCTGCTCCTCCGTGGACATTCCAGGCAAGGGCTTACTGACGACACCATTCAGTGCCTCCCGGGCTTTGGGTTCCTCCCTCCATTCAGGCCCAGCCAAAGCAAACAAGCCGAGCTCCCTGCAGGCTTTGAGGCGCGGGAACGAAATTAGCAGCAGGGACCCTGGGAAGCGAGGGCGCCGCCTGCCAAAGCTCCGTGCGGCAGCGCGAGGCAGGCTCAGCACGAATCCCCAGGAGGCCGGTCGAGCGCAGGGAGCCACGAAGCAGGTTCATAGAGCGCAGAGCCGGAGACAAAAGCCAGCACAGCAGCGTGTGGAGACGCCAAGGCAGGAACTCGTTCGGGTCGCACGACTGCCCCGCCACCCTCACGTCTGGCCCCGGGGCTGGCCCACTCCTCAGCACAGATGGGTAGGTTAGAGCCCGAGAATCCCAGGCGGGCAGAGACCTCAAGAGTCAAGGGTCCAGCCCGGCCCAAGGCAGGACCAACCCGACTCAATCAGCCCAGCCAGGGCTTGGTCAAGCCGGGACTTAAACACCTCTAGGGATGGAGACTCCACCCCCTCCCTAGGGAACCCAGCCCAGCGCTTCCCCACCTGCCTAGGTGAATAGTTTTTCCTAATCTCCAACCTGGACCTCCCCCACTGCAACTTGAGCCCATTGCTCCTTGTTCTGTCACCTGCCCCCACTGAGAACAGCCTCTCTCCAGCCTCTTTGGAACCCCCCTTCAGGGAGCTGCAGGCTGCTCTCAAATCCCCCCTCGCTCTTCTCTTCCGCAGACTAAATAAGCCCAAATCCCTCGGCCTTTCCTCGTAGATCAAGTGCTCCAGCCCCCTCTCCATTCTGGTCGCCCTCCACCGGCCCCTCTCCAATGCGTCCACATCCCTTCTGTAGTGGGGCCCCAGAGCTGGATGCAACACTCCAGATGTGACCTCCCCAGCGCCGAATAAAGGGGAATAATCACTTCCCTTGCCTTACAGGCTGGCAGGGAGGCGCTCCGACCACCAGGCAGCATGGTAGGAGGCAGCCCACCTCAGAAGAGGGAAGGGCCGATCCGCTCTAGGATGGGGACGTCACCCACGGCCGTTGAGGTGGGAAACATCCAGGTGCACCCAGAGTTTTATACCATCCTGGGTGATGTTTCAGCCACCCCTTCACGGCTGACCCCACCTGCTCCCATCCCCCCTCCCCCTCCTGCTGGTGGATACCAGCCACACAGATGGACACCAGGTCACCCCGCTCTCCCCTCCGCAGGCGCAGGCTTACCCCACAAGACGGCAACGGGTTTCTCTTCCTCCGAGCCCG